CAGCCATAGCCGCCTACGCCCTTATAAGGGCGCGATTTTCAAACTGAAGTCAGTTACGGCTATACAGCCATAGCCACATAGAGCGTGTAACCCAGAGAGATCCTATAGAGCTGAAGCAGCACTGCGTACTGCAGCTGCCACACTTATCAGGGCCATTGCATTCCCAGTGAGATTGGTCAGTCTACAACAGACTGAACTTCAACATGAATTCAAATCCAGCATTTCCACCATTCAAGCCAGATGAAGACAAGTGGGACTCTTACAGGAACCGCTTCAATCACTACATTGACGCCATCGGTCTGGCCGATGCTACAGAGAACAGGAAGAAGTCGTACTTCCTGAGTTACTGCGGGGCCGCAGTATTCGATACCGCCACAGTGTTATTCGCCCCCAGAGAATTGAAGAACGTCCCTTGGTCCGAACTGTTGGAGACACTCTCCAATCATTACTCCCCAAAGCCATCACAGATAGCGAGACGCTTCGCCTTTCGTATGAGGAAGCAAGCAGATGGGGAATCTGTCAATCAGTATATGGCCGCTTTGAGAACCGCAGCACTCCACTGCGAATTCAGAAATTACCTAGACGATATGCTCCTGGATCAACTCGTCTGTGGAGTCAGAGATATAAAATTACAGAGGCGTTTGCTGGCCAGGAAAGACCTCAACCTCACTCAGGCAATCGAAGAAGCTTTGGCAGCAGAACTAGCAACTCAGTCGGCCGCTGAAATTCAAGGTAGCGCAACCAAAGCCATCCCGGTCACTGTCCACTCCGAGGAAGTGGTAAGCGAAGAAGACTCCATCGAGCACTCAGAGGTCCATCGCCTCAAACCCTTCAAACAGCCTCAGGTAGGAGCTAGACTAAAAAACAGCAGCACACCTAAACACAACCTGTTGTGCCTCTCCTGCGGGGGGTCCCATGCAAGAACAACTTGCAGGTTTAGGAACGCCACCTGCAACAATTGCAACAAGAAGGGCCACATCGCCAGGGCCTGCCAGGCAATGCACACAGCTCCACAAAGGTCATCATCCTTTTACTCTCCTTCCGAGCCACCCAGGCAAGTAGAAAATTGTTATACGTGTTACCAGGCTAACCATACCTTTTTGACCCCTAATAAAATCACACTTTCTATCCATCTAGAAGGTAAACCCTGCCTTATGGAAGTCGACACCGGGTCAGCACTCTCGATCATCTCGTGGAGCACACTCAAGAAAATACGACCTACCCTGTCCAGGAAGCAGCTCCAGAGAAGTCGCCTCACCTTGAGGGATTATCAAGGGAAGAATATTCCAGTACTCGGAACAGGCAAGTTCCTTGTTAGATTCAAATCCTTTAAAGGCCATCTGCCTTTAGTGGTGGTGGATGGTGCCCTCCCTAGCCTTTTGGGGTTGGATTGGTTCCCCTATCTCGGCCTTAGCTTAACGGGAGTACATGCTGTCTCACCTTCCAATATCGACACCCTATTTTCAGATTATGCTGATGTATTCAGCAATGAATTGGGCTGTTACAACGGTACGCCCATTTCTTTTTCAGTGGACCCGCAAGCTGTCCCCATCCGCTTGAAACCACGGAGAGTACCATTTGCTCTGCGTTCTAAGCTGGATGCAGAACTAGATAAATTGCTTAAGCAAGGGGTGATCGAGCCCACAGATTTTGCTAAATGGGAGACTCCAATTGTCACACCCCTTAAAAAAGATGGCAGTATAAGAATGTGTTCTGACTACAAGACCACAATCAACCGCTATCTACAGACTAGCGCATATCCAGTCCCAGTAATCCAACACTTACTACACACATTTGAACTGGGAACCATATTCGCCAAATTGGATATGTCACAGGCGTACCAGCAATTTCCTGTGGATAACCAAACGGCCGAATTGCAAACAATTGTCACCCACAGAGGGGCATTTCGATGCAAGCGCCTCCAATTTGGCGTTAGCGTCGCCCCAGGTATTTTCCAGTCATTAATGGAACGGATACTGCAAGGCCTCCCTGGCGTAGTTCCGTACTTTGATGACATCTTGGTTTCAGCCAGGGACAGACCCCAACTTTTCCTCAGAGTCAGAGCGGTATTGGATAGGTTTAGGCAGCATGGCCTCAAACTAAAAAGGGAAAAATGTGCCATCGCCACTAAGCAGGTGGACTTTCTTGGGTATAAAATAGATGCCTCAGGCATCCACCCGGTGGAGTCCAAGGTCAATTCACGAGGCACCCACTCCTTCTTCCAAGTCAGAATTACAAGCCTTCCTGGGTCTGCTAAATTTCTATGCGTCGTTCCTACCCCACAAGGCGTCAGTAGCCGAACCGTTGCATAGACTTCTAGACAAAAACACTCCATGGCATTGGGGACCCAAAGAGGAACACGCCTTTAAGGCAGTCAAAACGCTAATCACTTCAGACGCTGTCCTAATTCAATTTGACCAGCGCCTCCCTCTAGTCTTAGCTGCAGATGCCTCACCTTTTGGAATTGGGGCTGTTTTAAGCCACAGACTCCCCAACGGCACCGAAGCTCCAATCGCATTCTTTTCTCGAACCCTGTCAACAACCGAGCGTAACTATAGCCAAATCGACAAAGAGGCCGTAGCCGCCGTTGCTGCGGTCAAAAAAATTCCATGAATTTCTTTTTGGGCACAATTTTGAACTTGTCACAGATCACAAACCTCTGTTGGGACTCCTCTCAGGAGAAAAACAAACACCGCAAGTCTTGTCTCCCAGGATGACTAGGTGGACCTTATTCCTGGCAGCTTACTCGTACAAACTGGTTCACTGCCCAGGAAAAAACCTTAGCCACGCCGACGCTCTCAGCCGCTGCCCGTTGCCAGCACCTGTGGAGGACCCGGCCCCGGTCCATGCAATTTTCGATGCCAGTGAGTTTAACATCCCAGTCACCGCCGGTGACATAGCTCTCCACTCCAAGAAAGACAAACTTATCGCCCAGGTCCTGGACTGGGTACGGAGGGGGTGGCCGGGCAGTAATCTGTCAATTGATTTCTCACCGTTTAAAACCCGCCAGCAGGAACTTTCCAGTTTACAGGGCTGCCTACTATGGGGGACCAGAGTGGTCATTCCAAAACCGCTGCGTACGCCCGTCCTGAAAGCGTTACACGAGGGCCACCCCGGCATCGTCCGGATGAAAGCATTGGCTCGGAGTTATGTATGGTGGCCCGGCATGGACGACGAAATCGCGAAATGGGTAAGCTCCTGCCGCCCCTGCCAAGAATCCAGGCCAGCACCACCGATTGCTACCCCAACCAAATGGGAGAGTGCCAACGCACCGTGGTCACGATTGCACATTGACCTGGCAGGTCCCTTCCACGGCAAGACTTTCTTAGTGGTCGTGGATTCATTCTCCAAATGGATAGATGTGGCCCTCCTACTCACAACTACCACCCGAGCAGTTGCCCAGGCTCTGACCCGCTTATTTGTTACACATGGTCTACCTGACACCATAGTCTCAGATAATGGCCCCCAATTTGCCTCCACAGAATTCAGCCGGTATGTCACCAACCTGGGCATCCGGCATATCCTAATGGCTCCCTTTCACCCTGCCAGCAATGGGTTGGCAGAGAGAGCCGTTAGGACAGCGAAAGAAGCATTGGCAAGATTCACTCAAGATGACTGGCACTCCAGACTCTCTCGTTTTCTTTTAAGCCAACACTCGACCCCTTGTACTGTCACAAACAAATCCCCCGCCAAGTTACTGATGGGCAGACGCTTAAGGACAGTATTAGATAGACTGCATCCCCACTACTGCCCTGACACACCAATTGGTTCTAACAGTAGGGTCAGGAGTTTTATGTTACAGGACCAAGTGTTCGCCAGAAACTACGCAGGCGATCCACTGTGGGTGCCCGGAAAGATCGTGGCCATCACCGGCCCAAGATCATATCGCGTCCAGCTAGAGGATGGTCGTATATGGCGGAGGCATCTGGACCAGATAAGAAGTCGCCAGAGCGAACATGCCAACGCTGATCCAGGGACTCCGGTGACTGTCCAATCGCCGCATCCGAATCCCAGCTGCGACCTCCAGAGTGACCAGTCATCACCAGCCGAGCCAAGAGAACGGACGGTAGACCGGGACCGTCCTACAGAGGCGTCAGCCGTTCCAACCAGCGACACCACCGGGTTGCGTGACAATGACAATTTAACAATCCAACCCGGGGGCGGTGACCATTCCCATACGCCAGTTCGATCCGAGGGTCCAGCAGAGCCAGTTCCGGACTCCCAGAACTCCATGCCACCTTGTGTCTCGCCAGAACTGCGCCGGTCTGGACGCTCGCACAAGCCGCCCGCTTATTTAAAGGACTACTCGTGTTCGTATCTGGGGGGAAGGAGTGTTATGTCCCCGGGACTAACACAAGTTCTCTATCAGGTCCGTCCATCCGGTGGGGGCGTTTGCAACCCCCATTGGCTGGCTCCCTTCGACAGCCAGCTATAAAAGCCGGCTGGTAGGTCGAGCCAGTCGCTTTTCGCTAGCTAGTCTGCTGTTAGCTGCAGACGCGACAGCCCCCTTTATTCCCTTGAATAAAGCGTGTTACAGAATGCTCTGGTGTGGCCTCCCTTTCCTTCGGAACTTAACACCGGGCCTAAAAATAAAAGTGCTAGAAGGGGAGGCTGAAATGGGGTTTTTCGATCAAAACGCATGAGAGCCATTTCCTGGATGCCCATGTGATCGTCATGATCAGGAGACTCTGGTGGTGGTCAGAAAGCTCTCTCACGGGTTGAGGACTGTAAACCACGGAAAAATTGACGTCCGGGCTTGTGAGAAAGTATATTTTGAAAATCAGAGAAGGCTGGACCAATCAGCTGATTAGACTTCTGAGCAATAGAAAAGTTTCCACACAGGCTGTCGCAACTCCATAAACTCCCCCACTGCCTCCGCTTTATGAACAGCTTAGCTTTGATTGCCAATCCCTTTGGAAAACTTGTGAGGGGAATTCCTCTTCCTTCCTCCCTCCCTCCCTGGCGCCTTCTCCGCCTCCAAGACGTTCGCCGGCCACGGGGAGGGCTGACTGGCCCACCGGCCCAGGCGGAGGGTGCTGTTTGCCGAGCTGACCGCCCCGCGGGGCATTTTTCTTCAGCAACCCCGTCACATCCGCTGGGAAGTTACTCGGCGAGTGTCTGAAAAAGAAGACGGCGCGCCCCGCTGTGGTAACCGAAGTCCTGAGACGCTTTGAGCTCCGGGGAGAAACTTTCTTTCTCGCGGGGGTCAAGGGAGCTCTTCGCTGGATGGACATGCGGGAAGGAGCACCATGAAGCTGGGCTGCCCGGGCGCCTTCCTCGCCTCCCACCGCCGCGGCCGCTTTGAGAAGCAACGCAGAGGCAGGCAGCGGCTCCCTGCTCTCTAACTGCCTCGGGTTGCGGCGACCGGGGGTGGGGATGTCGGGGACGCCTGCCTGTGTCGTGCTGCTGCTCCTGCTAACAGTAGCGGAGCGCGGCCGGGCTGGCTTCGCCTTCCGCCTCCAAGTATCTTCTCCGGTGACCCCCGAGAGCACCCTGGTCCCCACTCCCGTGTTGCTAAAGTCGCGGAGCAGCGGCGAGCCGGCGCTCCCAAAAGCCTCGGGCTTGGCCTTAGCGTCGGATCCCAGCGGCTCCCTCAACTTTCTGGCCATGGTGGACAATCTGCAGGGCGACTCGGGACGCGGCTACTATTTCGAGCTGCTCCTCGGCACCCCGCCGCAGAAGGTAGGGACGCCACCGGAGCGGGGCTAGTGGACCACCGAGGGAGGTTTCCCCTAAAGTTGACCCGTTTGGGCGTTCGCACTCGGGACGGCGTCTCCTTTCCGCCATCGCACCATGGAGCGGGTCTCTCCCTTTCCCTATCCTGGGCGATTCAAGGACCCGAGGAGGAGGGTACAGCGGTACAGTGCCTAAGGCCACCAGTGTGCCTTCTTGGCATACTGTGGCTTTAAGCAGCTTTGATTCTGGAGTCCCGGTGGGGAAGAGAGGGTTAAAGCGTCCGAGGGTTGTTGTGAGAAATAGATGGGGCTTTCTGAAATACTTAGAAGTACCTAAAAACCGACTGAAGCTGCTAATTCGAGGCTAACTCCGATGCTTCTGGGAAGCTCACAGATTTCCAAGGCTGTAGTTGGTTCTGTTCCTTTTTTTATCCCCCACCCCACCTCAGGAACCGAGCTTTAGAAATATCCTTTCTTTGACTCTGGAAGGTTTGGTAAATTGTCAACGTCTTCATGTTTTAAAACTCCATGATGTATCCTTGAATGCCTTTGTTCAATCAGATGCTATTGCCATTCAACTTCGTTATAATTTGGGGGTTTTAAAACAGGCATTTTAAAGAATCAGTTACTAACATTTAGTTATCTCTCTATAAATAGGAACCCAACCCATTTCCCTTTTTTGAAGTCTGAGGTTTTGCAGAGGGATGGCCAGAATCTATATCTCTTAATTGTATTGGGTGGGGTGAGGCTGTAATTAAAACTTTCTTCTTTTGGGATGATGTGTTGGGTCTTGCTTCCAAGTAATGGCAGAAGCGGTAATAGAAGTCCATTGAAATCTTATTGTACTATATACTTTTTAATATGCTATTAGTACAGCTGAAAAGCAGATGGGAGTAGTTTCTGGCTGAGGGAGATTTTGGTGCCCAGAAAAGTAAAATATTACTTTCCTTGCTACAACAAAATTGCTTTTCCCCTGCCTGTCTCGTGGTGAATGTGCTTATACACGGCTCTTGATGTTTTCTGAATTTGGAACAGCTCTATAATACTTCAGAATAATCTGAATTCTGTATTCATTGTATTTATGTTTGCCTGACCTTTTGAATCACAACCTCTGACCTTGCTATAGCATTTGCTATTTCTGAAATAAAAAACAAAAGACCTTTCTATAACTATGTAGCAAAATCCTGGTATAGATGCTGATTCCATGTGGCTTGCTGGTTGTATAACTGTAGGCATTCTATTGCCATTGTGTGTTTTACAGTTGGCGCATAAGCACAAAAGTGCCTAAAAGGTGAGGTAAGCTTTTCCTGTTGATAGGACAGTTAATGTTTGTCCCCGACACTCCTTTTTCCCCACCCTGTGCCAGGCTGGATTCTGATCAGGTTGCACATCCTGCTAAGCCAGACAAAAAGAAACCAAACCATATTATGGCTTAGACACTGCATGACCTAAGTTTCTATGTGTGTGAGTATGTGGTCTATATTTCACATCAACCCACTTACAGGAATTTGAATTCTACTTCATAAGCATAGAATCCTCACAATCTGATCTTTGTGCTTACTGACTTCTGCAAGCCAGTGGGCTGCAATCTTCCCACTTTATTGTATTTGTGAGAATATTGAGAGAATAATCTCATAATTGTTTAAGGCAGTGGTCTTCAAACTTGACAGACTTTAAGACTTGGGGACTTCAACTCCCAGAATTCCTCCTCCAGTCATGTTAGCTCAGGAATTCTGGGAGTTGAAGTCTACAAGTCTGAAACTTGCCAAGTTTGAAGACCTTTGGTTTAAGGCAAGGTTTGTTTTAATTATGACGATGAATGAACTATAATGATGTGGTTTTCACATTCTGCTGAGTCATGCATAGAATTTTTTTCCTAATTTTTGGAGCACCATGAATCCTATTTTTCTGTCACATCTGAAGTCTGGAACAACATCCACCCACAGATGAATTTGGTCTTCATTCTGACTTGGTTCAAAATTGCTACTAAAACTTGGTTCTTCTCCTAGGTCTTGGGCTGGGCATGGTGGTGTCTGGCCTCTTGTATAATGTGAATATTTTCTATAAAGGGTTTTTTTTTGGGGGGGGGATAGCTGTATTTTATTTGTCTTTTAAATTGTTTTACTACTGTGTACTTGCCACTGTCACAATGGGATTTGGTGGCCTTATAATTTTATACAATGTTCTAATCATGAAGGGCCAAGACCAAACTAATTTTTTTTAATTTACATTTTAATTGAAAAGTATTATACCTCATATTATCATTCTCTGATTATATATTTAATAATTTTGCCCTTCTGCTTAATTAAAAATTACAATTTGATAATTCTTAGAAGTCTTTGCACAATTCTCATGTGTTAGAATTTGTACCATAATTTAGATCACAAAACACAGTTCATTAACTATAGTGGTTAAGTTCATATAACATTTTGAGCCAAAATCAAATAAATCATGAATGATATGAATTAGGCCTTTGTGTGAAAGAGTTGCAGAGGTATCAAACTTGTGCACTTCCTGGCAGGCTATTGAAAAGTGATCATATTTGCTTTTAGTCATGGATTGGTACCTAGTTACTACCAAACAAACGAACTTTGATAAAGGAAATGTCAAGTGAGGGAGTGCTTGTATTCATATTAATCAGGGGTGGGATTCAAAATTTTTAACAACCGGTTCTGTGGGTGTGGCTTAGGTGGTTGGCATGGCTTGGTGGTCATGTGATGGGTGGACATGGCTTGGTGGTCATGTTATTAGCTGGGTGTGGCCAACTCAATATCACTCACATCGAGGCACACATTTCCTCGCCTGGCCTTTCATGACTGGGGAAGCTGCAACAGTCGTAAGTGTGAAAAATGATCATAAGTCACTTTTTTCAGTGCCATTGTAACTTTAAATGGTCCCTCCACACAAGCAAAGTACCAGCAAAGGAGGGGGGAAAACTCCAGAGATGTTCCTGAGACAGGAAGTCTAATCCTGCCAAGAATATAATAAGGGTTAACAGAGAGGCAGTTTCTATAAGCAAAACCAGAATGTTTCCTTCCTGCCTTCCTTACAGGATTAGGCCAGTAATTTCTTCTAACAACCGGTTCTCCAAACTGCTTAGAATGTTAACAACTGGTTCTAGCAAATAGGTGCGAACTGGTAGAAACCCACCCCTGATGTTAATCCTATCCTAGGTCTTAATAATGTGATGTATTCTGTTTAATTCAGTAGAAGCTTTCAAATTACTTGTAATCATGAGCCTGCAGCACTGATTAATTGCAACAAGGTCTTGGATTGGAGAAGGGTAGTTGACATACTTGAAAGCAGCATAATGGGATGTTGGCATAGTGGGCAGCTCTACCTTGTTTATATCCTTTCAGCCCATATAAGTTCAGGTGAATGCCTGAATTACATTACGAAGCACCCTTTGGGGCCAGCATTACCATTTCCTAGATAATTCCACATCGTCTCCTTTCCAAAAGTTCTGGGGTCATAGTAATGATTGTTATCATGCTGGGAATATCAAAAAATAATGAAAGATATAGTTGATAGTGTTGGTTTGTAACTAGGAAAGACTAATCTATGTGATAAACGATGAAGGACGTGAGTGAGGAATTATTTCAATTCAAATATTTATCATTTGCTACCCTGTTTCTCCAACAATATGGCCTCCCCCAATAGGAAGTCCCAGCATGTTTTATAGGCATGAAATGAAATTAAGCCCCTCCCCCCAAATTAAGGCCTATATTAAAACATGTGAAATGGGAATGGTGGTGGGGGCTTGCCGTTAGGAAGTACTCTTGTTGCACACCCGGATATGGTGCTGCCTGCGTTGACCCCGATACAAAGTGCCCCACCAATGCCGAGGTCAACATCCAAGCCATTGCCGCCCACCCACCCAAAGATGCAAGGGGGGGGGGAATTAAGTCACCCCTGAAAAGACAACCTAGCCATTTTGGGGGGGGCTCAAAAAAAATAAGACCCGGCCTTATTATATGGGAAACATGGTACTAGTTTGCAAAATGTCTAGGTTTAGAGTTTCTTTCAGGATAGAGATAATCCATAACTATTCAGGAGATAAAACAGAGATTGCTTCAAATCAACTGAGCGAATCCATAAAAATTATAACTTTCATCTTTCCTTTGCAATTCTTTGGAGCCACTGAATTAAAAGAACTTTCCTAGAAGAAAAATAGCTTATTGAACATTACTAGAGCTATTTTTACAGGGGTGTTGGAAGTAATTCTGTACACATTTATCCAGGAAATAAGTCTTACTTGATTGTGGACCTTACTTTTATACAGACCCACATAGAATGGCATTGCTAATAAAGTCTTAAATGTTGGATACAGCACATTATAATATTCTATTGTCACTCAAAATTTAAGAATATATTAGCAATATAAAAGTTAGGGTTTTGAACAAGCTCATTAAGGGTTACTCCTTAGGTAAATATGTCTTACAGCTGCAGCATATCACTGTCTAATAGTAGTAATGCTGAGTAAGTTATTTCTATATATCATACCCACACATAATATGTAAGATAAATATCTAAATATTTATTGACCCTATTGATCAATATGCAAACCCTGCTTTTAAAGTGATCACATCGTTAATACAGTATAAGTATTTTTTTTTCTTAGAAGTTGTATCAGAAACTGGAGTATTGCTAAACGGGGAAAACTCAATAATTTATATTTGTGTGTCGGCATATATTGAATTTTTTTTTAAAAAAATTATTGGTTTTTAAAACAAACATAAACAAAGCATAAAAACATGAGGCCATATATTGAATATTTTGAAGTTTTGGAACTTAACTATTTTTTTCTCTGTGTCATGAGATTGCATGTGAAGAATTAATGTCTCGTTGGGCAGGACGACTAGTCAGATGATAAAGATAAACTTCTTAATCCTCAGAATGTTCACAGTTCCAGTTGGTTCAAAAGAAGCATTTTGAAGAGCTGAGTCTTATTTTCTGAAAGCCTTCAGGGCTTAAAACTTTCATTTCCCCCCCCAAATATAATGGTTC